CTATCACATATGACCCGCCGACTGAAACGTACCGAAAAGCCATATGTATAAACATGACACTGCATCTCGCGAGCTGTAACGACGAAGAGCCGCAAGGCACTTTGAAGAAGAGATCGTGAGGCAGAGAACGAGAACGCATGGCTGGCGAAGGATATCGACAACGCTCTTTTTGAGGATTATATCGGCCAGTCGCAAAGCTCTATAAAAAATTACGTGGAGGTATGTGACAGACCTAACCTGTCCAATCGTCAATGGCATGCGGATCTATACCACGATGCGCTTTTGGCAGCCAGGCGCAGAACATCTTATGAAAGCTTCTGGGATGGTCCACTGACTCAAGACTTCCCCTGGCGAATATGACGTCCTCTCGGAATAGCCCTTCTGCGTCGGCTGTGTCATGGAGGGGCATGTCTCTGTCCTTTGACGCCAGCATCCAGGGTATTAATGGCAGGTTGTCAAATAGCAGGTATCTGAACATCTGGTTCTATCGTATCCGATGACTGCTGACTGGTCAGAGCGCGGCTACATATTGAAGATGTCCAAAATGGTGTCAGACTACTCGAATGGGTAGTCGACTGCCTTAGGAATCAATGGAGGATAACAAAGTTGGGCACTCATTCCTGTGGTGCTAGCTAAACCCCGGCTGGTATGTTAGGAGACGTCAACAATGTCATTAGACCACTGGAATGGCTCACTGCCTTCTATAATGAGTCACCGAGCCAAGGAAGCCCTGATAGATGCTGAAACTCAACATTAATAGATGTCATTGGTGCCTTAGAAGTGACATGTTCATCCATGTCAAGGAAACTGGCAATGTGACCAGCACTCTCCTCTTTGCTGTACAACCAGTGCAGCATCATCGGCGGTGGCTGGGTAAATACTATTTCCAGTCCAGTAACAGCAACGGAAGAAGACAGAGGAGATATCTTGGATACCACTGGTGTTGGTACATTGAAGCGGGGGGTAAGGTGGAAGGATGCAAAGAATGGGGAGTGAATGACGGATGCTTACTACTGTTGGTTTGGGGGTTTTTTGATACAATAGATATATCGGGACATGCTATTACTATGATACTGATGCAGAATAGATTTCTGTATTAGTTATAATATGTTCATGCTAATATGAACATATTAATATGATTACATCATGCTATCATCATCAGGTAATACATTTATAGTAACTGGCATTCTGTATGGTAGTAGAATGTGGGAAATTTAAAGTGACAGGTGGTGCAATGAGAGCTATACTGGATGGATGGATGGACCTTGATGAGAGTAGAAAAAGAAGTAACTATGAGAAACATATGCGCGTTGCATGTGCTATCACTACATATGAAGTGATGGTATGCATGGCAAGCTACAGATTAAACTGAGTATTGAATGTTAGTAAAATATAGACAATATGTCTACGGTCATGTATTAAGCAATATCATCACAGCAGTGGTCTTTATCAGCCACCATTTTGCTATCCACGCTCAACTCTGCTCCCACAGCTCTACCATTACCCAGCTCCCATAATCAATAATCACCGGAAGATACGTCGACCCCCAACACTCCCAGCAGACCAAGTCACTGACCCTCTCACCCCCAAATTACCCATACTCAGTCCGGAGAACCCTACGCCACCACCCTCTCCATCCCGCTTATACCGCCGCAGCGCTTCCCTCAGATGCGAAGGCAGCAACTGGCCCCGATGGGGATTCGGAGGCAACTTAACATCCTTCTTCCCAGTAGGTGTAGACATAGGCCCCCTCTCCACGGGCTCCTGCTTAATGCCCCCAGGTGTTGCTGCTGTTGTTGTTGTCGTTGTCGTGGTCGCCGCCTGTTCAGCTTCAATAGCAGCCAAAGCCGCCTGATCATGAGCAAGAGCCCACTCAGCCTGCACGGTACGAGCCTTCTCAATAATCTCACCGGCAAACACCTTCGTAAAGCCATTGATCGTGGTAACCACACTAGCCGGCACAGACTGCGACAGAGCATGATTGACAATACGCCGTAGCGTTTCCTTTCGTAACTTGGCTCGTTTGAATAAATCGTATCGTTCCGACTGGATGGGATTAAATGCATCCACCAGCAATCTAGAAAGAGCCAGTTAGCACCACACCACGATCCAACGAAACCCAACAAGGGGAATGGTGGGATACGTACGCCATATTCTTCTTCTCCGCCTCCGTATCCGTCGTCCCCTCCTCCCTCCCCAACAACTCCCCCTCATCATCAAAATCCTCATCCTCATCGGCATCTTCTCCCCCTCCTCCTCCTCCAGCACCTCCACCACCAGCACCACCCCTCACCGACGCGCCATCCGCATCCACCGACCCCAGTCGATCCATCCCCGCCCGCAGACTCCCTTCTTCCCTCTCGCGCTCCTTCTCTGCTTTACTTTTGCGGCCGCGCTTCTTTCCTTTCGTGAGAAAAACGCCATCTGCGCTGGTCCCGCCTAAACTGCCCGTGAAACTGCCCGTCACACTGCCGGCGTCGCTGTAGGTGCGCGTGTCTGCGTCGATGGTGTTGGGGAAGGAGGTCTGGCGGAGAGGGTGCATGCGCGGTCGTTTGGGATGGCTGCCGAGGGGTTGGGAAGAGGCGGAGGAGATGGAGGGGCGTTTGAGAGGGTTGGAGGAGGGGGGTGGTGGCGAGGACATCGTGATGGTTGTGTGTATGTGTTTGTGTGGGAGGAATGGAGTGATGGGTGGTGTTGGTGTTGCTTTGTCGAGAGCCGACAAGGCTTGCTCGCTGCGCGGATGAAAACTCGTATCTCGATCTGTCTGGGAATTTCGGTAAGACGCGATTCAGGATTAGGTTGTTATCTCATTCAGGATAGATAGGGTAAAGGTGGTGTGAACTGGATATGGAGACAGCTTGGGGAAGATGATGCGATGAAGCGCGAATGAAAGAACGAAAGGCGGCTTATCGGTGTTACGGCCCCCCCATCCGGCAAGTCTGCCGAGTGGTCGACTTTCCGCCGGCGCGCTCCTGCGCCCGCCCGCTGCTTATTTCTACTTCACTCGTTCTTCACTCAACTACTCGGAAGTTCTACATTTCTACGATCAATGTGCCTGATCAGTCCGTGAGACGGATAATATTCGTTCAAAATAACCACAATGCCACAAGGCGTAAGCGAAGGTGGATACTAACATTGCTCAAAAGGAACAAAGCTCAATCGCTCGATGACAGAAAAGTAACAGTTGACAAAACCCGAAATTGGAAACAGTCAAGTAAACGATATCATTCTCCCACTTCCATCTCACCTCTCATGCATGGATAGACACCGTGTTCGCTCTCAAACGCGCTCTTCTCCGAGCCGAGGGGCCCCCCCTTTCCAGTCAAGACGTTCGTAGTAGCGGAACACGAGGTCATATCCGTCCAAGTCATGCACGATCCGGTCCACCCGACGATATCCTGCCACATTTTCCATCTTGGTGCGACGAGCTGCCTGCCGCTCAATGTACTTGACCTCCTTGATGTGGTCCAACTCGCCGTCGGCCGTAGTAGTCTCAGGCTTAGCCTCGAACAAGGTCACCGTGAAGCGTCCGGGCTTGAAGATGTTCACCACCTGCTGGATGATCTCCTGCGTAGTCTGGCCGTTCTGCGAGTGCGGCACGTTGGTCTCGAACGACGCATAAGAGCAGTGAGGCTCCGGGGTCACATGCACCGTGAAGTAGTGCGTTCCGGTGTTCTGGTCCGGGGTGGGGATGACGCCGTTGGCGGAGAATCCGCATGGGGTGAACAGGTAGGCGTCGATCCGAGACTCGGGGAACTTGGACTTAGGATAGACATCCGAAAGACCACAAGACTCCGACACGACCGTTCCCAGAGCATGACCCTCGGTAGTCAGCTCAGGAGGCAAGACGCGGCTGCCGTTGGACGACACGTCATCCATATCGGAGTTGTTGCTAAAGACATCAACGTGGTCGTCATTGTCGGCCTCGAAGTTGCAGTAACGCTTCTCGGCAACAGTAGTAGCGTGGTCGAGGTAGAATTGCTTGGCGTTCTCCTCATCCAGGTCGGTCATCAACACCTCCAAAGTCTCATCCTGATCTTCGCGAGTCTGGTACGCTCCAGCTGCGGGCACTTGAAGCATCTTGGTCTCGGTCACCGGATCCTCAGACTCGACCCGAGGGCTGGTCGGGGGAGTGAGCAAGGTGTTGGGCTCAGTGAGGTAGAGGTACCAGTGCTCGCCGTTCATCTTGCCAATCATGTAGGCGCTGCCGTTGAGGAAAAGCTTGTCCATGGTGCGAACCTCGTCTCTCCAGCTGCGGTGGGGACCGCGCTGACGGTCAGGGAAGAGGAAGTTCTTGCGGCTGTAGAACACGCGGTACGGGGCCGCAGCGACGGCGATACCACGGGAAGGCGCCGTGGCGCGAGGGAAGCCACCGAACAGAGCGGCAATCTCGAGGATGCGCGGAAGTCCCGACAGCAGGGTCGTCGTACCGCAGGTCTTGAGGATCAGCTTGTGGGGCCAGACGAACATGCTGGACTCGGACAGGAGATAGGCGTCCACATCCTCAGACGAGACAATGGAGAGCACTTGGCAGTTGACGAGATCAAGCATGTCCTTCCAGATCTCTTCGGGCACAGCCTTCAGGCCGGCAGGACCGGCGGAACCCAGTTCCTGAGCGGACGGGGCAAACCAAACCTCCAGAAGCTTCTCGGGGCCTTCGCTCACGTCAGTATAATGCCAGCACGCGCTTCTACTATAACAGTGACATACCTTCGAAGGCGTTGGTAGAATCGAGATCCTGGGTCGCCTCATGGTTGATCGTCAAGGACGGGGTCGCCATGAACGAGGACGGCGACGCCGTGTAGTGCTGGGGAATTCCAATGTAGACCATCTTGACCGATTTGAAAATGTGGTAAATGGATCGGTAGAGCGGATGGAGCAGCGATATAGCAGGTGCGCGCGACTTGGATTTGTGGACCGTAGACAAAGAGCCTAGGAAGCACTATCTGCTGCCCAGACGAACAGGGGGGCTATGTCCGTCTGAGAGAGTAGGCCCTTAATCTTTTTGAAGGTAATTGGCACTCAGCCAAAGAGGGGTAGATTCGGTAGAAGCCTGAAGGGCTGCTAGGGAGGGCGGAACGAGAGGGAAAGGAGGAAAAAGCCTCTGGAAAAGGGAATGGTGACTATATCGTCGTGACCCTCGTGCTGGAAGATACCGATACCGGCGAAAGTATCGGGTCTAGCAGACGAGAGTATCTGCTTTTTTAAATGTGGGAGAGGAAAAAGTGAGGTTTGCGCGACTGAAGAAAAAAGGTGGGGTTTAGGCGTGTTATCGGGGCCTACGCGCGATCTGTTAGCCATGACAGAAACTTTTGACCCACCAGAGAGACCAAGTGAATGGAAGAGATTCAAAAGATGGAGACAACCTACTTGGCAGGCTTAGACAGGTACCGTAGTAGATCCTTCGGGTTCATGGAAGGCAGGACAGAAGACGAGCTTAAAACAGCACGATGTCGCGAAAAGCCACAGCACTGAACATCTGCGAGGCGACTTCCGACGGCAACGATAACGGGTAGGGCAAGTGTGCAGAGAAGCAGCAGTAAAGCAATTTGGCTCTTTGATCACTCAATGAGTCAAAGACAACCAAAGCAATTAGGTCCTCTTCACCAAACAAGTGAGGGAAGAAGGGAAAATAGATAAGATTTGGGAAAAAGGCACGCGGACGTGGGGGGGGAGAGGAGGGAAAAGAAAGAAGTAGTTATTGACGGGCGATGGTTGAGCGATTATTATTGCTGTCCGTGATCTGTGTGGGCCCGGAAAAAGTTCGTGGGGCGGGCAAAAAAGACAAGAGGCCAATCTGGGTTGGGCGCCAGCTGGGAATCAAACGCAGAATCTGAGAGAAGGGCGGGAAAACGGTTCAGATTCGGGAAAACCTCCAATCAATAGGATGAGGGGAAGATGCAGGAACATATAACTCACCTGGGCAATTATAAAATTTAGTCCAACCACACACGATCCCTGGAGAGGCAGGAGGGCGCGATGGATGAATAGTAACTACGGAGTAGATGATGAGAAGATGAAGGCCAGGAATAAGGAATGAGCCGGTCGGATTTTCCCAGCCCAAACCAGATCCAGACGAAATAATACGGAAAAATCCCGACATTTCGTGCCCAACCAGGCAGGCGGTGGTACAAGGGTCAACCAAAGTGAGAAAGAAGGTGACGTCGTGTCTCCCTCCCTTCAAGGAAACCGGTCACACACAACTTCCACCATTCCTAGACACTCAAGTATGAACATAGTATACTTTGTTGCAATCAGTATATCATGCAGAGGTACAATTCGCTAGCTAGCATTCAAGAATAGCCCCGATTCCCTCCTTCTAAACACCCTTTTCCCCAGAACGCCGATTCTGTCCATGCCCAGCAATAAAGAAAGACTCAACTAACAAGAATGAAAAAGATCCACACATGCCTCTTCACCCACCCCTTAAGATGTACATCCAAAGTAGATACAAATCATGCTACTTGTTGTAGTGAGAAAGAGACATGGAGAATCAGGATGACGACTCCACAATGGCATGAGCGAGGTCAACTTCCCCCGCGTCACTAATCTTTGCGGCCAGGAACTCGCCCACCTTCTGACTCAGCCGATCTCGAAGGCCATCCGTCACCATCGCGCCATGACCGTTGGCCAGTGCCATCCGGCCCTCCCGCAGCGTGTTCAGCACCCCCAGCAGCACGCTAAGCACCCGCTCTGCCTCCGGCCGGCGTGGACTCTCCTCCGCCATCCCATCCTTGAGCAGGTTGCCGTACGTCGGCAGATTAGGCATGATCAGCACCCGCACCGCCTCCGCACCGCCAACCGCATGTAGTCCGATCACCGCGCCATAGTGCGCCCCAAACGGCTTGGACGGGTCCAGGAACGTCTTCAGGCACGACCGGGCCAAGCGTGGCTTCAGTGTATGCGACGAATTGGAATATTTCTTGGCGATAAGGCCCAGAAGCGATGCTGCAAGGTCGCGCAGGGCAAATTGTTCCGTCAATTCAGCACTGCCACCGAGTTGTCGGCCGATCAGGCAGGTCAGAATCGGTGGAACAAGTGAGGCAATCTATCCGGAGTCAGTAAAATGTAATCGGTGTTGTTCATGTGACAATCATGACTCACATAAGGGTCCACGTAGAGAGACTTGTTCTGTACCAGAGCCTCGGCCATGTGCATCACCTGCGTCAGGACGAAGACATCCTTCAACCCATGCGTCACCTTCTCCGAAATGAACTGCACGAAATATGGCACCAGCTGGTGTAATCCAGGGTCTTCTCGAAGACTAGCATAACCCGACGTCCTGTACTCCTCACTGGACTCGTCCAGGAAGGCGTTGCAGACCTTCTCGAAGTATAGCTGTAGCTCCTTGGACAGCACATGCTTCACCAGGGGCTTGACGGAGACATTTCCTCCTCCACTCATGGCCGCCAATGTAGAGCTTGCGTTGGGTCCCTTGGACATCAGTTCCATGTTTCTTGAGTCGGCCGCCGTAGGATTCTGGGGGATGGACGGTTGTACACCTTCAACCGCCAACCAATGGGCTTAATGGAGTCAGCATGCCAATATGTCATTGTAGATATTTTTACATCGCAGCAGGGCCAAAGGATACCTGTGAAAGAGATCTCCCGAGGAACTCTGGGCAACGGCGCATTTATCAGCTTCTCAAAGTCCACTTCCTCGTCCTCCACGTAGAACAGCGGCTGACCAGGCCCCAGTGATGCTTCTCCAAACCGCAAGGGCCTTGTAGACTCGTATCCGTAAAGTGGCTCCACGTCCAGTACGCGCAGGGCCTGCGCGACATCTTGTGTTGTGAGTAGCGTGCGTCGACTGTGGCGCATGAATTTGAGGGCTTCTTCCAGGACCTGCGCGACACGGTACTCGACGTCGCGGGCAAGATTCTCGGTGACATCATTACTGAGGTTCACAACACCGACCGACTCGGCGACATCGCGAATATTATCGGGGTTCCAAACGGACATGGTGGGTGCGGTGTTGAAGTGAAGGTGGGAAGAACGGGAGGCTGGAGGTTGAAGGGTGGGTAGGAGGGTGTAACGTTGTCGGCTCGTCAACGAGGGGTCCGATTATTTCGTGCAATGTGAGGTGAGTAGGTGATCATCAAATTAATTATCCGGTGAGAGCCAAAATCATTCTGGAAGGCCCAGAGCAACAATGTTGAAATCAGTGGCAGCAGATTAATGCGATGCGGGAACGGAGAGAGCTTCGGAGGCAGAAGGCGGAGAAAACCTGCCGCTGGGCTCTCCACACGTGCATCGTCCACTTATGTCCGTGGACACTTGCAAATGGAAACCAAGAATATCATGTGTAAAAACATATCAACTTCATCTTGGGTGAAAGCAACCCTGTTTTAGAATACGATACTAAAATTTTTTACATTGAGTCAACCATAAGCGTGGCGAAATGGAAAGTGAAACTGAACCGTTTATACTACTACTTTTGCTAGGGATACAGTGCCCTATCCTACCACAGGAGGACGCAATGTAAAGTCGCGAAACGGACCTAGTCTTTCATTTTTGATGCCTTCCAAAGTCTTGAGCAGTATTATCACTTCCAGTATTGAGAACGAAGTATGCGAATGGTGACAATTTGATGACCGGTATTTGCTCGACTGTCTAGTCTTTGACCCCCTTCACCAATACATGGACATCTTTCGCATTTCTTGCCACTCCGTGGTCACTCCACTCCATAGTTATCTCGTCTGTCTGGTACAGTTCGATCTGAGTCTTGTTGAGAATATTTGCAAGGCAAACATACAACTCAAGGTAAGCAAGGCTTAACATACGGCGGTCAGTTACTATATTCCATGGCTGATGTTATAACTTACTTGATGCCAATGCATGAGCGTGTTCCCTTGGAAAATGCAACATTCCATTTATCCAGTGTTTTTCCGCTTTCACCAATCCATCTCCCAGGATTAAATTCGTCGGGCTTGGGGAAGATGTCTGGATCAAAGTGGATCATCCTTGTCGACATTGAGACTGCGGTCTGGATACGAGTGAGGATATTAGCTTGATCGGTTTTGGCTTATTAGTGCGGATGCCTTGGCTTACTCCTGGTGGTATTAACTGGCCATCAACTTCAATTCCACCTTTGGGAACAATACGCGGAAGTCTGGATGGAGCTGGAGAGGACAGCCTAAGTGACTCCTTGATCACGGCGGTCTATCCATAAATCATTAGCGAATGACCCAGGTTATAAACAGGAAACGCTGTTATTTACCAGATATGGTAGGTTGCGTAGATATTGGTATTCGATAATCCCATCTGCGTTCACAGGCTGCCTCTCGAGCTCTTCTCTCAACTTCTTTGCAGAATTTGGGTGCGTTAGCAGGTAATAAGTAGCGCAGGATAGCGCGTAGCTTGTAGAATCCGTCCCAGCAAAGCAAAAGAAGTATGCTTCATTAACAAGCCCATTCATAGACCGCGATGGAGAGTCTTTTTCGGCTTGAAGAAGCGAACTGAAAACCGTCATTCGGGTATTACCTTCTTTTTGTTCACTTGTGGCAAGATTTGTAGAAATATCTCTCATCCACTCCAAACACCGCTGTTAGATTACGAGTTATTAGTGGAGCTCTACTTCTCTTAACAATGACATTGATTGGAGCTTACTCACCTGTCTAAAGTCCATGTAGCCCGGGGCGACTATGTCCGTCAGTAGGGGAGGGAGGTTAAGGGCAATCCGGGCGAGGATAGGAAAGCTTCTGAACAGATGGAATCGATCTGCGAACATGTCTATGCTGGAAAGGAACGGCGGACAGGACGTTCCCGACATGACAAGGTCCAAAGATCTTCCATACAGCAATACCATTATGGAATCGGCCTACGGAGGATACGGTTACCTGACCTTCACATTCTTCAGCAGGTCATGGAGTATGAAGAACTAACCGTGACACAACGGTAGAGCTGTTGAATGTTTAGCGGGCACTGCGTCTCCGCTGCGATCTTTGCTTGATTGATAGCTTTGGTCACGATCATTTCCAGCTCGGGGGCCAGAAGATCGACATGTCTTTTTGCAAAGGGGGTTTTCACAATATCATAACGGAGCTTGTATTCGTGAGGATCAGTGAGAAAGGCAATGGAGTCATTGAACCCAATACTGCCAAAGAAGGCGGGATCCTTGTAAAAGTCCGTTCCATTTTTGAATACCCTTGGCTTGGTTAGCACAGTTTCACCTGATTTATTGCGTGGGTACCTATTGAAAAAGTCCCTGTCGTTAATGTGAAGTTCATTGGGATGAATACGGACGACAGAACCTGTGTACTTAGTAGTGAGCATAAAGAGTATGATGGTCATTTTCTTCAGCAGTGTCAGACCATATTTTGCATGTAGCGATGGAAATGATTTGGAGTACTGTCCACTCAGGATGACATCTTTATAGAATTCGTACCAACTGGTCGCAGCAGCAATCCGTGGTCCGGGGAATTTGCTGAGGGGATGGAAGTAAAGGCGAATAGTAAAAACGCTACAAGCATAGATAAAGATACCAATGAGTAGTATCAAGCTGATATTAGCGGACAGGACTTGTTCAACTAGCAAATTCAAAGCAGCCATGACTGAATGCGCATGCGAGTATAAAGCAGTGTATTACTTGAATCATAGATTTTGAGAATCTGAAAGAGCAGTCTTAAGTTACCCTCGGAAAGGGTCCTCTCTTAGGAGTATCCCCGCAGTCTCACGGGATATAAACCCAAATGTTTTCCATTGTCTATCATTCTCCCTTTAGGGATACTCAGGCCGTTGTGTACACAGTCATAATGCACGAGCACCCTTCTAGATGGCCCCTAAAGAGCGCATTGCCCCTACATTCCAATGCATGCCGTCAAATATGAGTAGCTTGAGCGTCCTGCATAACATTACCGAATATTGTGATCGTTTCCTCAACTGCATTTCTGATGCTGCTGGAGCTGGTGACATCTGTCGCGATGAAGCGTGCTTCATAGCCCTGGCTAACGAGTTCCTTCTCGGCTTGCCTACCGATGGCCTCGTCAATTTCTGCAATAGCGACTTTTACGCCAGATATAGCGAGTGCAGATGAAATGGCTTTGCCGATGCCCCTCCCACCCCCTGTCACCATGGCAGTTTTTCCATGTAGATCAGGGTAGATAGCCATTGTCGGGTGAATCAATAGCCAATTGCTATGGGTTACGAAGTGGGCTTTTGTGGTAGGACGGATCCGGGGAATGCTAGAAAAGAGTCCTCTTGTCGAAGATATCATCCGTGTCAATCTGATGCCTTCTTAAAGCCAGCAAAGAGTCATTAGGTCATTTGTATAGATTTCCCTCAATGCAGCTAGGTGCATGAAGTGCATGCATTTTCATGCGCCGGCTCTTTTGGAAACGGCGAGAATGCAGAAGCCTGATTAGTATTGATACATTAACTCAAAAGGACGCAGCGGGCTGGTAGCCTATCTAGCCCTGATTTCACTCAGCGTGTTATGGGAAGATGAGTGTATAGGCCCATTCTTGGAAATCGCAGCAGCAAAGGTACTGTAAGATAGCCACGGCGTAAAGTCTGCGCAGTGCTAGTAGTAGACGAATCAGCTTGGCTGGGGTTTGCAGTGAGACTGACTGGATCTCATAGCCCTTGAATGAAAATTCAAGGAGCCCTCCACCAGACAGTGATGCAACTCTCTTCCGAGACCTCTATCGAGTCCCCACATTATATTGAAAGGGGTATGATACTATCTAAAGTTTTCCAGACTGCAGTCTTTGCTACTCGAATAAGACTCGTGCATTTTTAACAGGACGTATGTTTGCATCTGTGGAACAAACGGCGACGCGGCTGCACCTGCCCAGTCAGTTAACTGGTAAATCTTCTCATTTCAACTCAATTGCCATTGGGAAGTAGTACTGCTGGTCATGTAGGATGTATGTCACTAGCTCCATGGCAGCAGGGCAGGTATACAACATTCCTTTTTGATATCAGTAAATGCGCCAATATCCTGCAGATCCTTGCAAAGAATCACAAGCAAACTTCGACTATTCTTGATCCCCTGCTGATAATCACAGCATTGGAAAGGCGGTTATCAAATGTACTACCCAGCAGTGAGGAAGAGAAAGGGGTCAAATGATTTAACGGTGACGCTACACCCCTTGGGATAATGCTAAGGAGGCGTTATGGTAGCTATTTGACAGGCATCCATCCACATTTAGTATCTGTTTCACATAGGGGCCACGACAGACTTGGATATCGAAAAAGCCTACCCTAAGAGTATTAGGCCAAATCCTGCTTGTCCACCTTGACCCATCATTCCTATCCCTGAAACTCACTTATCAAAGCCGTGAAGATGGGATGGGACGCTGGCAATGTTGTCGAGGTGAAATTACCTCCGCTATTTGTCAACTTCGCTGCGCGAAAGGCTCCAATAAACCAACATTACCAAGCCGTGAGAGAAGCGTCAGAGCAGTGGCTCATCAAGTATAGTTGTCCATTGTTCTCATCCTAGTATCATTAGCTAAAACTTTCAAGGACCTGCAAGTTTGAGACGAATATGGCAAGTTTCGTTCACAAGACCGACTTCGGATATTTCGTGGCTATCGTGGCTCCTGATGCAGAGGAAGAAGAGTTGCGAATAATGTTCGACTGGGGGAACTGGGTGCGTATACCTTGCTTTCTACCAATTGTTCATGCTGATTTTGCTCAAGGTCTTTCCATTTGACGACGGTAGTGTTACCCTGACTTTGCGGCACTTGCGTTTACTCGTGCTCACATATCGATATGAACAGCTTTCGATAACGGAGAGTTGAAAGTGGATCTGGACGGCGTGCGAATAATGATGGACGAGCTTTTGGCTGTCATGAATAACGAGACAACCTTTAGACCAACAGACCCTCTTGTTGTTGCTTTCAAGTCCATCTGGGACAGACTGTCTGAAGTGAGTGCCCCGCCCATGAGTTTGTAACCCTCGCTAATGATCCAGTCGGACTGCTCTGCCGGTAATCACATCGTCAACCAAAAGTTGATCTGGATGCATAACTAATCACTAGTATGATTCCAGGACCCCTTCGACGGTTTGCTAGATCAATGCAAGACTACTCTGAAGCCTGTATTCAGCAAGTTGTCATGCAGTCTAAATTCCAGGGCAGCGAGACACTGTCAGTCGACAAGTTCATTGCAATGAGACGTGGAAGTATTGCAACAACGCCCCTATTTGCGCTGTTCGAGTAAGTCATTTTCCTACTTAGTCAGGGTCAAGCGTGCTAACTATCAAGATACGCCTATGGGTTGAACATACCAGATGAAGTCTTTGAGTGTTCATCAATCAAAGAGCTGGAGAGAGTTAGCACTGAAGTGACAGTCATGTAAGATCCTTGTCCGTTGTAGAAATTAACTACTAACTTAAAAGCCAAAATGACATCGTCTCCTATCGGAAGGAGCAGGTATGTGCATATGTATGGCCCGCCAGCGGAAGGTGCAGAGTTTCTAACCCTTTGTCATCAGCTCCTTGATGAGAATAGCAATTTGATCAAGATATATCTCCGGGACGGGTTCTCAGTTCAGGCTGCTTTTGACGAAGCTGCAAAGTTACTGGCTACCTGCTACCGTGACTGGTATTTGGCACCAGCCGACTTACCCAGTTGGGGCGAAGATGTCGACGCCCAGGTTCAGACGTATATTGAGGGGCTCCAGAATGTTGTTCTAGCTAATATTCACTGGAGGTAAGATCTTCTTTCACCTTCGCTATAATGTCTAATGGTGGTGTAGTTTCCGAGCTGAACGGTATTGGAAATCGAATGCGGAGATACAGAAGAATAGAACGATTGAAGTGCGACTGACATGAGGATGTCTTGGCTGTGGTGAAAATGCCTTAAATTATGTTTGACTCAGAATTCAGATTGCTTGACTTACGTCCCATGGCAATAGGCAGGCTGGCAGCCTGCATGCAGTGCTCTCTATCTGTATTCGCATTGCTGATGCTTGCCTAAAATTATCCTGGGGCCTTATGATTTGCTATAATTCTCAAGAATGCCACTTGTCACAGACTAGCCATTCTGCCGGGTTGACTAGATGCGATAGGATTTGAAAGTGTGTGAAAACATGGGCGATTATCCCAGATGAAGTCTATCTCTGTGCCTGAATTCACAGGCCACCGGCTCGCCATACTTCGAAGACTGGCCAGTCAACATCACTATGTAAATTTTATGCTTCCTGCCAATCGCTTGCAATTTCATGTCTTACAGAAAGAACTCAGTTTACTTGTTGTAGGATGATGAGACACATTCTATGTCAAATCAGTTACTCTCACGCTCGTGACCCATCTAGACTATTTTTCTTCCCTCCTATCCGGATACTCCCCTTCCCACTCTTACAGGTCATCCTCTCCTAGCCCATCTGGATCCTCGAAACAATGGCGGAGTCACATCTGGATGACATGGAAGCAGAGGCGTTCGAACTACCAACAAACATCACTACAATTCCTCAAACACCAGTCCATAGCTACATTCAGGAGACGCTAGCAGCAATTCTGGATGAAATGTCCTCCCCTGAGGGCCAACCTTCCATTACCCTCAGACAGAGAGGCAGAAAGTTCGCCTCATTATTCATCAACCCACAAACACAGGCCCTGGAGACCTCAGAGATGCAGACATACACCACCTACAGATGGCCCGGCAGAGACGGGAACGAAGCCTGGAGATTCAGTAAGATTTATAGTCATCGTTCCACAGACTCCTCTAATGAAGACATAGCCGTCGCTTTACGAGTCCTCGCAGCCATTGCAGAGGCAGTTCAGGAAGGGTTGGTTATTTCCAAGAGGTAAACAGCACATACAATCGGTATTCTCTACCACAAATCATCTACTAACTTCATCATAGAGACATATATTACAGCGACCCCGCCTGCTTTGGCACCCAGAGAATTGTCGATACCCTCGTTGATGACTTGGCTCACACAATGGGGGTGGATCGTGCTGCCTTATATGTGGTTTGTGGGCCTCGACAGTGCCCACTTCCAGGATACTAAGTACGCCAACCACAGGAAGCAGCAGCGAAAGGACTCGTTGTGGGCTACTATCAGATAACCACTAGAAGCGGCGCAGTGGTGGATGCGCGTTTCTCAAACCAGGTCAGTTGTGGTCATCATTACTGCACACGGCATGAGATGACCTTTCCAGGATACTCTAGTACCTAGAACGCAAGACATCCACAAGATCGATCTCGCAGATGTTGCGTGGGTATTGGTTCTAGAAAAGGAGGTTCTTGCTGCCGTCAAACCCTCTATTTCATAGTGGAGTGAAATGACACTCTCAGGCCGTATATCGTCGGCTCGTGAGCAGCAACTACCACATCAGATCTGCAGCAGGCAAGGGCATTCTTGTCACCGTACGTCCTTGTTCCCTCATCACATTCCAAGAGAAATACCAACAATTCCAGGGGAAAGGATATCCCGACCTCAACACTCGGGCATTCGTCCGAAAGCTCTTCGACCACAGCCGCCAACTCACACACCCACGACTGCAGTTATACGCCTTAGTTGACGGAGACCCCGACGGAATGGCCATCATGGCCACATACAAGTACGGTTCTGTGGCTTTTGCACATGAAAACCGGAACTTGAATGTCCCTGGCCTGCACTGGCTGGGACTGAAAATACCAGATGTGGTTGCAGGCACTAATCTGCTAGGCGATAACACGCTAATCCATCTCACAAAGAGAGATAGGAAGAAGGTCGTCGCTATGCTGTCTAGGAATCCTATCTGGGCGGTCGATGGCCCGGAGCCGGAATGGCGAATAGAGCTGCAGCGGCTGCTCATGTTGAATGTCAAGGCAGAGACGGAGATTCTATATGATATGGAGGGAGGATTGTCCCAGTGGTTGGATCGGAAGCTGAGTAGTAGGTAGGTAGGACATATCCATGACTTATACCATTATAACGACGAAATAACGATACACACTAAACAAAGCATCTATGCATTCCCGACCATGCATCTACCCCAGAAAAGATATATAAGAATATAAGAATAAAAGAAAAAACGAACGTACCACAACGCCAACCCAAGCAACCAATGCATCCATCCAATCATCCAGCTTCCAAGCTATGCCACAATTCCTCCACGACACACAAGAGTATAGACAAAGACAGCGAGCAACCAGCCCACCAACCAGGTACTTA